TTTTTGCGTGCAGATTGCATTAATGCTAAGGAAAAGAGCCGAATGATCCGAAGCTCGAGTCTGTAAATTTTCCACCCATGCATTATCATTCATATCACCCCAACCATCCGTTACCAAGACTTTATCAAGTCTCTCCTCTATCCAATTCTGTGTCCCTTTTCCCTTATCCCATGTAAATTGATGGCCCCTCATCAGCATTTGCATCAGTCCACACCCATCAATAGCCTCCCCAAATCCGCGAAGCAGGCTATTAGGATACGGGTCCCCCCCCCCCCCCCCCCCCCCCCTCTTCTCATTCTGATAAAGGAGATTATTAAAATCCCCAATCACCACCCATGGTACCTTAGGGAATGTTAGATTGCTAGGACTGTTAGATTACTCAAATGTTAGATTTGTTTGGTTTAAAACTAAGGTATGCAAATAAGACGAAGGTAATAAGACAAATTAATTAAAATGCCAAAAGCCCAAAATTAGTAATAAGATAAGGGAATGTGAGATTACCTAAGAAATTGGAGGGTATCTCATGTTCCCTTCCAATAGCTAAAAACTTAATGTGGAGGTTATGTGATATTCTCTGGAAAAATTACATAACCTAAACCAAACATGTGAATCTTATATTCCCAAGCGAATATAATCTTAGTTATCTTATATAACTTGAACCAAACGCCCCGTTAGGGCTTCGATTTTAGAGTTTATGACTGAGTTTTTGGTTTTATCTAGTTCAGTGGTTCACTTTTTACTGCTAAGGGTCTAGCATTTATGGCTTCGATTTAAAATTTAGCTTTTTCACTGATTTTATAAAATTTACTAGGTTTGCATATTTAGTTGTTAAAAATTGCATATTTAAGTGTTCAAGTTTACATAGTGAAGGGTTGATGATAATTACGAAAATGCCATCGCATTTATTTTTATTTTTAAATCTGATCAAATCCGCACAGATGTAAGACTGAGATTTGTTCTTAGTTTTCTCCTGAAGTGTGTTCCCATGGGATCGTTAATGATTTTTAAAAATTTTGATTATTGCTTAATACAATTCAAAAGTTACGGTTAATCAAATTATTCAATCGGTTAATCAAATTGTTAATATATACCTCCATCGGTTATAATCTTGAATTTTTATTATTAGTCTAATTTTCAATTTTTATCATTTATACTAGTCTTTTCTATGCGCGATGCGCAAAAACATATGCCCAATATTTATATTTTTAAAAATAACTAATAAATTTTTACTAATTAAAATCTAAATGAAATAAAAATTATTTATTATATTAATTTCAATATATAATGTCTTACAAATATTGTTATCATTAAAGAATAAAAATAAAAGATATGGTGGATGCATGTGCATAGTAAAAGTAATGGAAAAGATAACGGAAGTTATAACGGTAAGGGTTTTTTTGTCAAAAAAATTGTACAGTACAACTCTAAAAGCACAATGTACAAAATGATTAGCATGAAAAACATGGACATAAATGAGAGATATAACTTTAATTGAGACTTATTATGTTTTTAGATAATGACTATTTTGTGGTATGAAACTATTAATAGTATTACCTAATATCTTCCTTTTAAAAAGTAACTGTAATATCAACAAATCATAAATGTATTTGTTATCCAAACGCTACTAGATAGTGGTTTGAATTACAAGTTCGGTGGAATAGCACTATTTGTATAATGTGTGTGGTTATAATTTGTGTTTGTGGTTATAATTTGTTGTATCAAATTCAGTGGAATAGCACTATTTATATTAATTTGTTTGACATGTATCACAAACTATTATTATGTAATTTAAAACAAAAAATGATGTCATAAAACTAGAATCTTCCTATTCAGTGGTATGGACCATTAATCCATTATGACTATCTATAAATCATATCTATAAAAATGTACACCACATAAAACAGAATCATAAACCCATCCTACAATTAAACTTGCATCTTAATAATAATAATAATAATAATAATAATAATAATAATAATAATAATAATAATAATAATAATAACTTATTCAATGATAAACCAAATTTTATAATAACTTATCTTTTGTAGTTGTCCTTTCTTCATATTTCATTGTTATCTATTTTCTTTTGGCCCACTTCTCCTGGTCACAACAAATTATATCGTAATCCATGATTTACATTGTAAGGTATACCATAGATAAATATTCATTTTTAATAGGAGGCAATCTCTAGTCGAGTGAATCAGATAATTGATTTGATAACTACAAGATTCTAAGTTCGACTCTCTGTGAGAGTTACCTAGTTATAATCCTTCTTGATGTGAGACGGTAAGCTATGCTCTTTTCTGCATATTTCATTGTTATCTATTTTCTTTTGGCCCACTTCTCCTGGTCACAACAAATTATATTATAATCCATGATTTACATTGTAAGGTATACCATAGGTAAATATTCATTTTTCATAGGAGACAATCTCTAGTCGAGTGAATTAAATAATTGATTTGATAACTACAAGATTTTAAGTTCGACTCTCTGTGAGAGTTACCTAGTTATAATCCTTCTTGATGTGAGACGGTAAGCTATGACTCTTTTCTGCATATTTCATTGTTATCTATTTTCTTTTGGCCCACTTATCCTGGTCACAACAAATTATATCGTAATCCATGATTTACATTGTAAGGTATACCATAGATAAATATTCATTTTTAATAGGAGGCAATCTCTAGTCGAGTGAATCAGATAATTGATTTGATAACTACAAGATTCTAAGTTCGACTCTCTGTGAGAGTTACCTAGTTATAATCCTTCTTGATGTGAGACGGTAAGCTATGACTCTTTTCTGCATATTTCATTGTTATCTATTTTCTTTTGGCCCACTTCTCCTGGTCACAACAAATTATATTATAATTCATGATTTACATTGTAAGGTATACCATAGATAAATATTCATTTTTAATAGGAGACAATCTCTAGTCGAGTGAATTAAATAATTGATTTGATAATTACAAGATTCTAAGTTCGACTCTCTATGAGAGTTACCTAGTTATAATCCTTCTTGATTTGAGACAGTAAGCTATGACTCTTTGAGTAATTTAAATTAATTTATACCCTTTTGGTCATAGGTCATATCGACCATGTGTTAAAGTCTAGGAAAAATTAATAAAGTCAATTCCATAATTTTCCTTCCTTGTAAGAATTGAATCTTACACTTTACTATTGCTTGTGAAGAAAAGCTATTATTTTCTTTTAATATGTTAATCAGTTGAGTTATACTATTGGAATAGAGTGTAGCAAATTCTTGCATCAACTATTGAAATAGAAATGCTGAATATATATGGATGAGATTTGTCTTGAAAATGTGATGAAGTGTGTACTTTATGTTGATGTAGTTGCACATTTTCATGTTTGGTTATTGACGGATCTACCGACTGGCGTTTTGACCGAGCACTAATTTTAAAAAAGATGCATATAGCAGCGTTTCTCTTTGGCGTTTTGAACTTTTGCCCAAAACGCCCTTATATTAAAAAAATTAATGTTGTTGTTATTAAAATGAGAAGCCTCAGGCTTCACTGAGGCTTCTAATTCCCTACCCATCCGATCAGATGGGCTGGGATGCAAAATGAGGCGTTGAGCTCCCCTTTTAATGAGGGAGTTCAACGCCCTTCTTTTATTTGTATACTCTTTTAGTCATTTTACATGTTAACCGCTAATCTAAATCGTTAATTTTACCAAACATCTCTTTATAGACTGCTGATATAATCCGCTGGTCAAACCCGCTAACACAATCCGCTATTTGTTAATCGTTAACACTATCCGCTAACCGCTGTTTGCCAAACAAGGCCTATGTAGTAAAATGTACGCTTCTAATTTTGAAAATTATGCAATTGTTATTGTGTGAATTTGGACCTATCAATCACATAAGTTAGACGATATATGTTTCTGTTTTTACACTAGTAATTATTTTCACATCATTTATTCTTCTTGTGCGTATGTCTAATATAAACGAAACGCGATATATTATGGGGTGTTTGGTAAATAGTTGTTAGCTGATTGTGTTTTTTTTTTTTTTTGAAACAGTTAGCTGATTGTGTTAATGTGTTTGACTAGTTGATAGCATTAATTGATTGTAGAAAAATATTTGGTAAATTAACTGTTAGCATTTAGTTGATTATGCAAAATGACTTTTTGAAAAAACTGATCGGAAAAGCTACTTTGAGCCGTTTTTGAAATTTTTGCATTTTAGAGTAATAAGTTGTTACAAAAAAACTAATTAATTCACTCATATTAAATGTTTAACCAAGTCAAATAACTAATAGTGGTTAAATAAGTTAAAATTGGCTGATAAGCTAATTATGTTATTAAACAGAGAGTGTTAAGGTAAAAAAGATTATTATAAAGAAAAATCAATAAAGAATGCAAAAAGCTCATCACGCCTCTATCTTTCTTCTTCTTTTTTTTTTTTTCATCAAAAAGCAAGAACGACCTAACTTTTCGAATATTAATACTCCTTATTATAGTGCGCTGACGTACGTAAGGTGTTCAAGTTACACTGAAATTGCAATTTATATTGCCATCAAACTTTAGTTAAATGGTGAACAAAGCTTTTTCTGAGTAAGAGTTAAAAGTATGACTTGGATTGGATTTAAATTAATTTTATATATCATATATTATATATAGTAATTTATTTTCTCGATGTATGGAACTATGTAAGTGGTTGAATGAGTGAAACATGACTATTATATTAGAAAGTCAATAGTTCAAATCTTGTCGAAAACACCCTTTCAGTAGCACATATATATTCCTTATGTATATGCATTCATGAAATTTTAATATCATAAAATAATCATCATCATCATGCATACATAAAAATTGATAAAACAAAGATTTATAATAATTAAATAGAAAGCCATTTTGATGGAACCATAAAATTATATTCTTAATAATTCAGATACCTTAAATCTAAATTAAAGGGTGGATTTTAAATTCTTATTGGTATTTCTTAATATTACAGTAATTATATTAATTAATTAACTAATTAATATTCAACCAACCACGTCAACCTGGGCAGTGCAAGACAGCAATCTCCGGAAAATGGAAGCCATGGCCCGTCGAAACCTAAAACATTTCTTTTTTCTCCGGCCATGTCCTCCGCCGCCGCCGCCGCCGTCTCCAGACGTCTTCTTTCTCCCCGCCGCCTCTTTCCGCGCTCTGCCGCAGCACATGGCGGTTTCCTCCTCCTCCTCCTCCTCGGCACGGTTGCGGCCGTCTTCTTCCCGTGAGAAAGTGTAGCTTCTCAGATACAACTGCCGGCATGAGATGCTGTCCACCACCCTCGGGTGGCCGGCGGCGGCGGCGGAGCGCACGGTACAGGTGACCGAGCGGATGAACTCGGCGTCGGATTCCGGCCATTTGTAGAGGTTCTCGTAGGTGGCTCTCACGACGACGGGGGCCCTGGCGTCTTTAACGCAGCTTGAAACGCAAACGGACGCCATCTTTAATTTTCTGGTCTGCGTCTTCAATTCCGATCTCACTCTGTGTAGGATTGGATGGAGAAGAAGAGTGTGAGTCTATATAGAACAGGAATGGGATTGTGTGTCGCAGGTTTAATGATGTTTTGGGGTGTGTTGTAATATTACGTTGATGCGTTTTGGATTTATTAGGTTGGTGTCGGATGAATGAAGATTGCCATGATTTGGCATCATATATGGGATGGTGTGGCAGTGGTAGATCGGAATCCCTTCTATACTTTCCCACTTTTTTGTCTCTGCATTTATTATGCACACTAAATGCATGTTTAAAGAAAAGAAAATGATGTTTGAGTTTACATTTTGTGAATTTGTGAATTTATTTTCCGCATTTGGTTGCTTGACTATTATTCATTTTCTTATTTGATCCTTAATTATTTTAATTTCCAAAATTAGTGAGTGCACAAGTATATTTTTGTTGTCACTTTTTATCTAATTGGAGGTTGCTACAATGATAAATTTTAGTAATAATATTGTGTAATTGGATTTGAATGGATGATTTATCACTTAGCTTGTAGCAAATTGAATGAGACAAAATTTACATTTTTTTACGAGTAGTTACGAGAGATTTGGTTGTCTAAGACCAAATGTGACAATAAATTAAAAGAATACTTGTGCGTCAAATGTGATAAAATTAATAATTTAGACCAAATATAAAAAAATAAATGATAGCGGATGGACCAAAAGTGACAATAATATCTCATGATTTGAATTAGAAGAACACTCACTTTTGCCCCACTCACTATGTAAAGGCTTAGAGATTTAAGTTCAGCATTTTAATTTGTTGTTGGCGGGGCATTCAAAATATTACATTGGCTATTATGCAAATATGAATAAATTAAGTTATACATTCATTGTTAGTTATATACTAGTATTTTCACTCGTGTGATGCACGGAATGGATTTGCTATAATATTTTAAAAATATCTAGATCGATATATAATTATATAAATTAGAACATCAAATATTATATAGTGCAATTGAAAAGATGGTTTGGATCAATTATGTGTTGTGATGTTATTATTTCTTGAGTTCGACCAACTAATTGTTGAATTAATATATAGCTAATGTGTAGATGTAAGCATCCTGTGCTGGAACTTTGGGGTCTTTTTTGGTTGGACTAAGCCAACCGGCAATTTCCGTCTTCCTTCATTTATCAGTATTTAGGATTTGTATAACTTGAGCAAATGTGTTATTTGAAAATAATAATAATAATAATAATAATAATAATAATAATATCACCGGTTCAAATTATACATTATTGAAAATCTCTTTGTAGACGACATTGGTAGTAGTAACAGAATCTTGTCCATCATCGTCTAGAGCTAACACCTTCAGGCCATCAGGATGGGTGACTCGGGAAAAAGCCACTTACAACTGATCGTGATTAAACACCCGTTTTTTCAACAATAACCAAACATGAGTTAGCGTTTGGCCTTGAATTTTGTTGATAATCATGGCATATGCGAGCATCAATGGAAATTGTTTACACAGGAACTTGAAGGCAATCTCGTAATGAACAAATGAGGTAATGATGTATTCATAAGTGAGCTTATAAAATCACAATCATTTTTAATTATGAAATAGGGGTCATATAAACTTTCAAACTTGTTAGTAAAGTAGAATTGAATCCTTAAAGTTACAAAGTTGTAAAGAGATCATTGAATTTAGGGGGGAAAAAAGTACAATTAGACATTTTTTATTTGTTTTAGCATGTAGGCTTACTTGGCATTCAAATCATCATCCAAAATATTTAATATAATAATTTTAAGAGATTTTTCTCTATAACAATAAACTTTTTTTTTTAGAGGTATAACAATAAAACTTTTAAATCTTATTTCTCAGATAGGGATACTTTTAGTCTCATCTTTGCTTCATTACTATCCATTAGTTTTTCATCATTTTGTCACTATCGATTTTTACATTGTTATTGCTCATACATTAATGTTATTTTTATAAATACTAAAAAATCAAAATGTTAATAGTAAGAGTATATCAAATAACATTTATGTTACAATTTTAAACTATAACAACTATAATATAACCATTTTAATTAATGTTTCTTTAATTTTATTTAACTGAGCATTTAGAAAAACTTAAAATACTCTGCTATATCCTCATTTAATTTTTGTTAATATGTCTTTTATTTATTTAATTAAACATTACCTTCACCCGCGCGATGCACGGAAAAAATGATGTTATTATAAATATAAATAAAAAATAAAAATATTTTAAATTGTTTAATATAATAATATTTTTGAGCTTCCATTGGTCAAATATTTATTATTTTTATAGAATACAAAATTACAATTAAAATTAAAATTAAAATTTTACATGGTTAATATAATCTCTAATTATGTACATATTCAAATAAACTTATAGAGATGATTTACATAATTACATTGATTTATTCTTAATTGTATTTCATCTATATTATAATTTTCACAATACGAATAATAACTAAGATAATTACATTTAAAAAGTAAATTTCAAATTTTGTATGAGTAAATTTAAAATAAATGTAATTCTTTGTTATGGGGGAGAAAAAAATAGCTATTTTATTTTTCAAATGTTGTTTTTTTTTTTTTTTTAGTAAAGGATGTTGTGACTATTTTATAATAATAATAATAAGGATAGAGATAATAATTGTAACAATAATTACTCACAAAAATAATAATTGTAACATTAATTACTTCCCAAACCATATAGCTTTATTATAGTTAAGATTAAACATTACCAAACAATAGTAACATTTCTTATTCTAACATCAATCAATTGATAAATAAGAATAAAAATTATAATAATTAATGAAATACACAAAAATACAAAATATTCGTACTTTATAATATTATTTCTAAATTTGTAATTAGATAAAATAAAAGACCCATTAATAAAAATTATAGGGGTTGACATTTCAATTTAATTTTGGTTTGCTGAGCATGGTTCTTTTATCCTCAGTTGAAATCTTTCTACAATCATCTTCGTTACATTTTTCTAGAGCAGTTGTCTTCTATCTAATGAAATAGTTGTATACTGTATTGTTGTTGGCGGAATAATATTGTTGTTTATTTGAGGGTCTCTGATTTTTCTAGAATTGTATTACGAAAATGAATTTTAATGTAGAATTGTAGTATGTAATTATTAGGTAATTATAATAATATAATCACGTAAATTATGTATTATCAATGATTAATTGTTTAAATAAATGGGAATATGTTTTGTAATTAAAAAAAAAACTAAATGAGACTATTTATTATTCATACGCAATTTAAGATAACTTAACCGATCAAATAACATCAACAATAAAGAGAAGTAGATGAGTGAGATTCGCCATATAACACACATTATTAAAATCATTTTGTAAATAAAAAAATATAAATAATTAAAACTGCATTGTGATATTTATTCCATCTTGCTGGGAAATATATGCACAATATTATTACGATTAGTAATTTTAATCTAAAATTTTATTAAGAATAGGAAAGTAAGAAAGAATATATTGATCATGTTTGGTAAATGACGGATCCATCAATTTTTTGGCAAATTTGTAATTTTTTGACGTTTTGACCATTTCAAAACGCCAAAAGGCCTATGCTTTTGCAAACATTGCAATTTGAAGTGTTTGCAATTGACATTTTGGGTAAAATTTAAAATTTTTCCAAAACACCCTTGGTAATATAACATATAAAAGTAAAAAAAAAAAAAAATTAAACTTCACACGAGGAGCTCCTCATTGTTACCCAAGACAACGAAATGCTAATTTGAAAGGAGTCTTGAGGTGCCTTAAATAGTGTTTGCCATTGACTTTTATTTATAAATTATGACATATGATAGCATAAATGGAAATTGCTTTCTTTGGAACTTGAAAGGCAATATTGAATCAGAATGTGTTAAGGACATTCGAGGAATTAAAACCTTTGTTCTTGAATTCGTTCCACACATAATCTGAGCTTCCAAACATGATCAACCAACTTCTAATTCCTTGCCCATCCGTTTATTGAATTTCACACATAAGTTTATTGAATTTCATGCTTTTTGAAGTATTGACAGAAGACATTATAAGCGTTTGTAAGTAATGAAAAATCCTGCACTTTTTTCTATCTTATATATATATATATATATATATATATATATATATATATATATATATATATATATATATATATATATATATGAATTTAAATACAAATCATATGAAATTAAAAAAAATATATATATTAAATGACTTTTTGATAAATTATACGAAATTAAAAGTTTAATAAAATTTGAGCTTGTTACTTGCAGATATTTAAACTTACCATAGGCAGCAAATCAACAATGTATAGGATATATAGTTTGTCAAGGTCAGTATGTGCACGGGTGAAAATACTAGGACATTCGAGGAATTAAAACCTTTGTTCCTGCATTCATAAATGGAAATTGTTGTCTTTGGAACTTGAAAGGCAATATTGAATCAGAATGTGTTAATCGAGGAATTAAAACCTTTGTTCCTGCATTCGTTCCACACATAATCTGAGCTTCCAAACATGATCAACCAACCTTGTAACCATTACACAATGAGTGATCTATATTTCTCAATAGCATCACAGGTGGTAGATTCCAGCAATCCATTGTGCACCTTGTAACCATAATTTATATTTCTCTTATTAATTGTGTTGTCTATTCGTATTTTGCAATGTTAAATGTTCAAAAAAAATCTATAGATTATGTTTTTAAGTTTCTGTCATTTTGTATCTATTTTTTTTAATACCTAGGTAACTTATAGTTTAAAGTCCAACATATTATTTTATGATTATTAATTGTGTTGCATAATCATATTTTGCAGTGTTATTTCTCAAAAAATTTGTTACGAAAGTGAAGAGAGAGTTTCTAATGTGCTGTCATATATTATATCAAACTCCCATAGAAATAGAAAATACAAAGCCCTATAAATAGGTACTAGAAAATTACGAATAGGAAACAAGTTTC